GCCGGCTCGGTGGGGAGGTGGTGGGGAGGTGCTTCGGTCGGCTTGGTGGGGAGGTGCTTCGGCCGGCTCGGTGGGGAGGACCTTCTTTGCGTACAGAGTGACTCTCACTTGCGTACACGACTTCTTGGCGAGTTCCACGACGCTCCCGCCACCGGACACTTTGGAGTCAATCACACGATCGGCCGACTTCGCGAGCGATTTTGGTGGCCCGACCTTCTCGGCGACGTCACACGCTATTGCGAGTCATGCGAGGTTTGCCGACGCTGCAAATCCCGCAACCATCGTCCGTATGGCGAGTTGCGTCCATTACCGGTCCCCTTGCGCCGAAGGGAAGCGATTGCCATGGACATTACTAGGCCGTTCGCCAAGCACAAGACCGGTGTGGATGGGATTCTCACGGTGGTCGACCGACTCACCAAGTTCGCCTTGTTTTTGCCTTGCCGCTATCATGCCAAGGCACCAGAGTTGGCCAAGGTTCTTTTCGCCACTTGGATTCGAACCAAGGGTTACCCCGAGGAAATCGTCTGCGACTGCGACATTCGGTGCATGTCCGATTTTTGGTTGGCGCTCATCAAACGATGGGGCTCATCTCTCAAGCCAAGTTCGGCTCGCCACCCCCAAACCGATGGCCAAACGGAGAGGGCGCATCAGACTGCACAGGTTCTCCTTCGTACTCTCATCCGTCCCGACCAAAAGGATTGGGTTGAGCGGCTGCCGAATGTAGAGTTGGCCTTGTGCATCCACCCGGCTATCAGGATGTCGCCCTTCGAGTTCGAGCACGGCTCGCGAGTCACTTCGCCGTTGGACACAATCATTCCACAAACGGCCGAGAGCGACTGCCATCTTCTTTTCTTGCGTCAAATGCAAGAGCTACTTGTCAAGGCACGCGACCAGATGGCTAAGTCGCAGCAACACATGAGCCAACAGGCCAATCACCAGCGTCTTCCTTGTCCATTCCGGCGATCTCGTTTGGGTTTCCACCGCGGAATTCAGCCTTGAACAGGACATCTCTCGCAAGCTCCTCCCGAAATGGATGGGGCCTTGGCCGATCGTGGCACCCGGTGGGGATGCACCCGAAGGACCTTCCTTCACCATTCAGGTGCCCGCCCACTTGCCCGTCTACCCGGTCTTTCATTGCTCCAAGTTGGCTCTTTACACGTCAGCGGAAGATGACGATTTTCCCGGGCGACGATCGCAAGACCCACCCTCTATGAACGATTTTCAAGGGGTCGGCGATATCATCTCCCAGTGACGCTACGGCAACAGGCCAACCGAGTACTTGGTATCTTTGCGTACTGCAGTCACGGAGATGACCATTGGTTGACCCGTGCGGAACTCCAAGCAACAACTCCAGATGTTCTCGCACGCTACGAATGGAAGATGCAAGGCAAGCCGGTATCTTCGGCTCCACGTCTCACCCGCATCCACGTTCCACCTTCAGATCGTCAGCTTCGCCCTCGCCCTGGTTTGACTTCATAAGGAAGGGGGGGTGTTACATGCTGCGCCTGCAACATGCTGCACGGGCCCCCTTTCAGGCCCGTGACGTTTTCAGGCCAAAAACAAAAGCCTACAGGCCCCGTGTCGTTTCAGCCTGAAAGCCGGAAAACAAGGGCCTACATGCCCTGTGTCGTTTCAGGCTGAATCAGGGCCTTTCCGGCCCTGAGTGTTTTCAGCCTGAAACTGAGGGCCATTTTCAGGCCCTCATCAGTTCGACCCGCCCTGAAACTCAGGCAACAAACCAGGGTTTTAGCACAGGCCATTTCGGGCCTGTTTGCAAGACAACCCCTGGTTGAGCTTCAACGCCAGGGTCTGG